TGGACTACGATCTGTACTTCAGCGATCCCTCGCGATCCACCGCCGCCCAGGTGGTTCCCTTCCCCACGGGAGAGGCCAACAGCTTGACAGTGGCCATGTGGGTGCAGTTTGCCCAGAAGGACGACCCCGGCATCTTCTTTACTCTGTACGGCGTGGAATCCGCTCGGATGACCCAACGTCGGCGAATGCTTCTCCAAGCTCATTCCAGTGGAGTTCAAGTTTCCCTGTTCGAGGACCAATCTGATGCCTTCCTAAGCTTCGGGGAGTACACCTCCGTCAACGACGGACAATGGCATCATGTGGCCGTGGTCTGGGATGGAATCTCCGGACAACTTCAATTGATTACCGAAGGTCTGATTGCTAGTAAGATGGAGTATGGAGCGGGTGGCACTCTGCCTGGGTACCTCTGGGCAGTGCTGGGACGTCCTCAGCCATATGGTCTTACCAACGAGCTGGCCTATTCGGATTCCGGCTTCCAGGGCACCGTGACCAAGGCTCAGGTTTGGGCTCGAGCCCTCGACATCACCTCGGAGATCCAGAAACAGGTGCGCGACTGCCGATCTGAACCGGTTCTCTATCCTGGTCTCATCCTCAATTGGGCGGGATATGAAGTTACTTCTGGAGGAGTGGAGCGCAATGTGCCTTCCCTATGCGGACAGCGCAAGTGTCCGGTGGGTTACACTGGTCCCAATTGCCAACAATTGGTGGTGGACAAGGAGCCACCAGTGGTGGAGCACTGTCCCGGAGATCTGTGGGTGATTGCCAAGAACGGATCCGCGGTGGTCACCTGGGATGAGCCGCACTTCAGCGACAACATTGGCGTGACCAAGATTTATGAGCGCAATGGACACCGATCAGGAACCACCTTACTTTGGGGCACCTATGACATCACCTACATTGCATCCGATGCAGCTGGAAATACTGCCTCCTGCAGCTTCAAGGTTTCCCTGCTTAGTAAGTATTGATGATGTCTTTTTTGAGATTTTTTATTAATATCTTTAACATTATTTTACAGCCGACTTCTGTCCCGCTTTGGCGGATCCTGTCGGAGGATCCCAGGTGTGCAAGGATTGGGGTGCTGGCGGTCAGTTCAAGGTCTGCGAGATTGCCTGTAATACCGGTCTGCGATTCTCGGAGCAGGTGCCCGAATTCTACACCTGCGGTGCCGAGGGCTTCTGGCGACCCACGCGGGAACCCTCCATGCCACTGGTCTACCCATCCTGCTCACCGTCGAAGCCAGCCCAGCGTGTTTTCCGCATCAAGATGCTCTTCCCCTCGGACGTGCTTTGCAACAAGGCTGGTCAGGCAGTGCTCCGTCAGAAGGTCACCAACTCGGTTAATGGTCTCAACAGGGACTGGAACTTCTGCTCTTATGCCATCGAAGGAACCAGGTTTGTTTTGGATTTGCTTATTTCGGTAGGGTTCCATTTCTCAAACAAGTTTCTCTTTACAATCCAGGGAGTGCAAGGACATCCAGATCGATGTGAAATGCGATCATTACCGAGCTGCCCAGAACAACCGAGTGCGTCGCCAGTCCAAGGATGGTGGTGTCTATGTGATGGAGGCCGAACTTCCAGTGGTCAAGTAAGTAGTTGCATGATGCCCTAAAAATCCAACATCTAGCATGTCCTGATATCCGCCGTTTATACCCGTGTACACTGTGTATATGCTATATGTGTTTTGTGTGTGTTTGTTAACCAAATTTGCAGCGAGGAGGATGACGATCTGACTTTGACGGGTCGCCAGGGACGCCAACAAACTGGCGGCGATACATACACCCTGGAGATAGCCTTCCCGGCTGTAAAGTATGTCTAGCACTCCTTTGTTGGTTCACCTTACGAATAACCAAATCCGACAAATTGCACCCGATCTGCCCAGCATCAAATCTGCACCCAGTACTACCAACAACCAGTCTCAGTCTCAGTCTAATCCAACATCCATCCAATCAAACCTAATGCTTGTCTAACCTCATGTTACATGTCTATGCGTTCTAACCCAATGTTAAGGCTTACTTATCAATGTCCAGAAGAAGTAGTGTTAAGTGTCGCAAAATTTAAACCAAGGATAAACTTTAAAAACTTGCTTTTAAGATTTATCAGAGATCCAAAGTTACTATATTTATTTTAAAAATGTTAAGAAAACTGTCATATTTTTATCTTGCAAATTGAAGCACTATAATCATTACAAAAGAGTGGCCCTAAAACACCGAATACCAGTAAAAATCTGAAGTGTTCATGATTATAAAACATCATTGTGATTCTTAACTAACAACACTTAATCTGGACATTACCATATGTTTTTTAAAATAATACGGTTTAGAAAATGTCGTTTAACCCTAACTAATTAACCTTGTTTCTGTCCCCCTCCAGTGATCCTGTGGTGCACACATCAACCGGTGAACGATCTAGTGTCAAGCAATTGCTGGAGAAGCTCATCCTTGAAGACGATCAGTTCGCAGTGCAAGAGATTCTGCCCAACACAGTCCCGGATCCAGCTTCCTTGGAACTGGGCTCGGAGTACGCCTGTCCCGTGGGTCAGGTGGTGATGATTCCCGACTGTGTGCCCTGTGCCATTGGAACCTTCTACGACAGTGCGAATAAGACGTGTATAGCTTGCTCCCGCGGTACTTACCAGTCGGAGGCTGGGCAGCTGCAGTGCAGCAAGTGCCCGGTGATTGCCGGAAGACCAGGAGTGACCGCAGGACCAGGTGCCCGCTCAGCAGCTGATTGCAAGGAGCGCTGCCCGGCCGGCAAGTACTTCGATGCGGAAACGGGTCTGTGCCGCTCCTGCGGCCATGGATTCTATCAGCCCAACGAAGGATCCTTCGGCTGTGAGCTATGTGGCCTGGGACAGACCACTCGCTCCACGGAGGCCACGTCGCGCAAGGAGTGTCGTGATGAGTGCAGTTCCGGCCAGCAATTGGGAGCCGATGGACGCTGTGAACCCTGCCCACGTGGCACCTACCGCCTGCAGGGCGTCCAGCCATCCTGCGCCGCCTGTCCGTTGGGCAGGACCACGCCTAAGGTTGGGGCCAGTTCGGTGGAGGAGTGCACCCTGCCCGTCTGCTCGGCGGGAACGTACTTGAACGCCACCCAGAACATGTGCATCGAGTGCCGCAAGGGCTTCTACCAGTCGGAGTCACAGCAGACCGCCTGTCTGCAGTGTCCACCCAATCACAGTACCAAGATCACCGGAGCTACCTCGAAGAGTGAGTGCACCAATCCCTGCGAACACATTGCCGAGGGCAAGCCGCACTGCGATGTGAATGCCTACTGCATCATGGTGCCGGAGACGTCGGACTTTAAGTGTGAGTGCAAGCCTGGCTTCAATGGAACGGGAATGGCCTGCACGGATGTATGCGATGGCTACTGTGAAAACTCGGGTGCCTGTGTCAAGGATCTGAAGGGAACGCCCTCTTGCCGCTGTGTTGGCTCCTTCACGGGACCCCATTGCGCCGAACGATCCGAGTTCGCCTACATTGCCGGTGGCATCGCCGGAGCGGTGATCTTCATCATTATCATCGTACTGCTCATCTGGATGATCTGCGTGCGCTCCACAAAGCGCAGGGATCCCAAGAAGATGCTAACGCCAGCGATTGACCAAACCGGATCGCAGGTGAACTTCTACTATGGCGCCCACACGCCCTATGCGGAGTCCATCGCGCCCTCGCACCACAGCACCTATGCGCACTACTACGACGACGAGGAAGATGGATGGGAGATGCCCAACTTCTACAATGAAACATACATGAAGGATGGTAAGTTAAAATAAGATAAATTTTAGTTATCCAAAATGAAGGAAGAAAAGATTACACGACCCCACTTTTGCTTCACACTTTTTGAAAAAGAAAGATTCTTGATATCAAGACAAATGTGCTCTCGATTTTATTTTGTGGGATAAAAACACTTGATCTCGATATTGAGAATTTAAGATGTAACAGATCCTGGCTCACCTGTTAAAAATTTTTCTTCTTACTTATTTGAGAAAAAACGTTCTTGAAATCAAGACGAAAGTTAACCTTGTTTTTTGAGTACCAGTGTTTTAGCCTATCAGAACACTTTACATTTTTTAAATCAATCAAAATATTAAATCCTTATTTATCTTTAATATCTAAACAGGTCTGCATGGCGGCAAGATGAGTACATTGGCCAGGTCCAATGCCTCGCTCTATGGAACTAAAGAAGACTTATACGATCGACTGAAACGGCACGCCTACACAGGCAAGAAGGGTAAGTCCTATTTATAACTTTAAAGTATTTCAAATGTTAATATATCCGATCTTTTGCTTGCAGAAAAGAGTGATAGTGATAGCGAAGTGCAGTAAAAAACAACGAGTCGCGATTTAGAAGAGATAAATTACAGATAACAAAGCTGCTTTAATGTAAAATGTGGTCATAAATAGAGAACGGGATGCAGCGGCAAACTCACTGTCAGAACAGTGATCCAACACTGCCCCCAAAAATACTCACTGGAGAGCCTTGCATTGAATCAACGTAATAACTGCGACATCGCTTTCGATCCAACTTCAGTTCCAATCTCAATCTCGGATATTACGTGGCTTAATGCAAGGCTTTGAGAGCTGCTTGAAAACGCGAGACGAGACGATAAATCTTAAATTAGTAATTCCCATATGTGCTCTTTAGGTATGCAAACTACATGAAATTAAGTCGAACTTATGCCTAATATAATGAATGAAATATTGTTTTAATCTTAAGTATTATTTACCTATACAAGAAACTCGAAAATACCATGCTTGACGCGGTACCAAATTGCAATACATATATACTAATATATATATATATATATATATAGAAACGTAGATTTTTCCAACCATATAGATTGTCCAAGCTTGTTGAACAAATTCGCGAGTGCTGTAAAAAGCAAATCAAATATAGTCGTTATTTTGTAATTTAATAAAAGCAATTTAATTATTATGTATGACAATTAATTTTATAAATTTTCTTGTATAAAATAAAAGAAACAAACGAATCTAATTGAAGACGAGGTACCAGCTGTTCTAATTTATTGGCGAGGAAGTTCGACGTTGCGATTGATGTGACTCACGAATGTCCTTCCACGACGCTGCTTGCGAATGAGATCCTTGTGCTTTTGAAGGGTCGGCACGATGTTGGTTAGCTTCTTCTTTACACCTCTTGGATTTTGGATGATATACTTAAGAGACTCGTTCACTCGCAAATGTACCTTTGTCTGGACCTCAAAGAAGCAGTCGTGCAGCAAATGGAAATGGTCGGTTGCATGTCCGGCAAATGCGAGGATCAGAAAGGACAGAGGCACAATAACGCTGCCCACCCAGTAATTTTCGTACTTGAAATAGTTATAATCAGAAACGAGGCCCGTTCTGAAAAGTATTATCTTGATCAGCAGAAAACAACCATTCTCAACTGCCTTCCAGATCACGTGTACGGCAATCTCCAATAGAAGAAAAGCTACTGCTAGTTCGTAGATACGTTTAAGGACTCCCGGCATAATTTGAAGACGCCGGGGAATGAAGCAGTTGTCCCATATTAGATCCATCGCAGCAAGACCAACAACCAGAGAGGGTAGCTGTAACCTAGGAATATCCGATCTTTTGGAAGACCAAGCTAGGTAATGCATCACGTGGCACAGGCCAGCAATGAGAACACACTCCAATGAAGTCATTCTTGTACTTGACGCACTTCTATTCAACTTTGAATTTGCAATAAAAGATTTGGAAATGAATCCAAATTTTATAGATGTGTTTTTACTAAAATTGATTTTTTAAAAGTGAATGATAGTATTTCAAATGTTACTGCGATTATTTTATGTAATTTCAAGTAACGTTAGAAAAATTACACTTTTTTATTATGGATATCAGGAAAAACACATTTATGTTTTAATACTTTCTTTGATAAAATAAAATGCGAAAGACAATTCAGTCTTCGCAGAGATTTTCTGGAAATGCTACAAAGGAATATCTAATCAAATAAATATTCGTTGGGACTGTCCTATGACGTTTCGGGAATTAATTTTAAAGTCTTTAAATCTCTTACATCTCAAATGTCAGAGAATCCTAAATTCTTTCTAAATTAGGGCCTCTTTAAGGCCCTAAATAAAATGTAAAGTAAACCAAAACTAGGAATTTGAATTTACTTTAAGGCCCAGTCAGTCGATTAATATTTATCGATACTTTTTTTCCTTCCCAACACTTTTTTATCTGCCCATACGCAATCTGGCGCTCATTTTCAAAAGAAGATAAAGTAATAGGCGCTTTAATTCAAGTACATATATAAAACTTGGAAAATTGAAACGGTGCAAAATTGCTTTATATGAGCACATTTATTTGAAAAATAGATTTAATTTCAGGCACTCAGTGCCAATGCGTTGGGCGATTTTGAAGAGCGTTGCACGATACGCACATATCTGCCGGAGTCAAATCGGTTGTTTCTGCTCGTTTATGTTTTAATTCTAATTTCAATTTTCAAAACGGTGGCCTACTCCTTGCGAGATAGGTAGATCAGACTGATAGCCAGGCTGCAGAATAGTATGGGATAGCTAAGCTTCAGGAGTTTGCGACTGACAAGGCGTCGGAAGTAACTGAACGACTTGCCAGTCTGCTTGTCGGCCAGATCTGTTTCCTCCTCAAACTCGGTCTCGGTTTCCACTTCCGCTTCCTCATCTGATTCCGCCGCCTCCGTCTCCTTCTCCTTCACAAGTTCACTGTCCTCTAGGTCTGGCTCTGCCTCGGTGACGTTCTCTTGGGATCCAGACTGCAAAAGCTGACGCAGTAGCTCCACATTGTGTTCGGGATCGAACAGTTCCTCCAAGGGAACCATCCGGCGATCACTCTCCACCGATCCATCCAACGAGGGACGGGAGGTAAGTCCCATCTCCGAAACAGTGGACATGTTATCATTCGCTGGGTGCGGAAATTTCAAGCCAATTGGGCTTCTCTCGAATTGCTCCCTAAGAAGCCGATCGTCTTCTGTTTCGCAACCACCACCTATCGCCATTTCAAGCTCCTCCATTAGGGATTCGGGTACAGACTTCTCAGGCTCTTGGACCACTGATTCCTCGGTGGGCTCTTGGAGACCTATCTGTGGATCATCAGGGGCTGGCTCTTGGGCCAGTTTCTCAAAAAGTTCCAGCTCTTCCCCCTTTGCAGCTTCCTCAGTCACAGCTTCTTCTTTCGCCGCGAATTCTTCTTGATTCATCTGCAGATTGTCCACTGATAGTTCTTCATTAGTCGGTGGTTCTGCAGAAAAGCTGGGTTGTTTCTGCTGGGTTTCATTAGCAGAAAGCTGTTCCATATCCAGGCCAGACTTTTCGGGGATATCTCCGACCTCTGGGGCTATGTTGTGATTTTGTTCCCCCGGTTCGGCCTGGTATTGATTATCGAGCTGCAGATCCTGCATATCCATATCATCTAGGGCCACTTCGGCCTCCATTTCGGCAACGACTCGTTGAAGTTCCATGAGGGTTTGCTCCTCTGCCCGTCGAAGTTCTATTTCGCTGGTAGTGCCCGGAATCCGGTCGAGAATCGTCTGCAGTATGGGACTGGGTCTGACCGACAATGGGGTCTCGGGCAACTCGGTCATGGAGGACTCCATGTGGATGCCAGAGTCGTTGGTCAGCTGATGGTCCTCCAAGGAGTTGCGTACTTTGGGATCTGGAGCCAGCACTGAGCTGTACGTTCGGCTACTAATCTGATGATGGCTACCACTAGGACCCATATAAACGGGAGCCGGAATCCTGGTCATCTTGGTCACCGAACCGCGCGAAGAACGCAGATCAGTCTCCGACGAGGGAGTAGCCACCGCATCCATATCGTTATTAGATTTAAAATTTAATGGCCCCCGTTCCTCCGAATTCTTCACGTTTTTGGTGTTCTCAGTCTTCTTCAACTCGTCTTGGGATCGAGTCTCTTGGACTTCGCAGCTGGCCATCGTTGCTATCTGGATGCCCGAATGAATTCAACTCAATTTGGAACAACAGAACACATTCCCAAGCTCTCTGCTCGTACTTACCCTTAACAAATTTTAGCAAGACTGAGTGAATTTAACCCGGTTAACTAGTTTCACTGCTCTGTGTGTTTTCACTGTTTGCGTTATGTATTTTCCCTTCTATCGCCAATGAAAATGTTCCCTAGCGCGAGTGTGTTCGCCTAACTGAGACAGGTCGACTAACTGAAATTGACAATTGGTCTTTTTCTGATTTATCCAGAGTCATGACCAACTTGATGGGTGGCCTTTTTCGTGTTGGTTAGTGTTTCTTAAATGGCCAACTCGGTTGGCAACTCTTTTATTAACTAAGTGGTAGCATTACTATTTAATTTGGTTAAAATTGATGGCAAAAAAGTATATTCAGGGTAGGGATTTTCTTCAGTCCTGCAACTCCACCTTCGTCTTAAGATAATCGGATAGATCATTGTAGATCAGGGGTTTTACGCGGTCTGTTTAATGAATAGATATAAATGGTGAATTAAGAGTTGGAAAATTCCCTGCTAAGTAAAACTCACTATTGCACTTGTATTGCAGGTTGGACCATATAATCATCCTTTGCGAGAAGCAGAACACGCCCAGACGTCCGCCCTTCAGAGTGGAGTCGAAAACATTGCCCGAGTCGAAGATGAGGCGATGGCCCTCGTACATTCTGTGGGAAGAAGATGTTCAAGACATGGGACATGGGAACTCTCAACCATCACTCACTGTAGGCGGATAAGGCCAATGGCCGGTCGATGCACCAGGGACCAGCGGTAGGAGGTTCTCTCCTTCCAGGCAATGTTCTTTGGATCCTTCCACAACAGCCTGGCCTCCCCATCGGTATTGCCCTCATGCCACAAACTATTCCGCATTGTGGGCCCAGGACCCTCGGTGCTGTTGACCAGCTTGATCTGTATCCCGGGAGCAGCGGAGGCAGTGAAGGGTCTTGGCTCCCAGTAGGTCTGAGTGCCCTTCTTCCACTGCACCACATAGTATTTGTAGCTACTCTGGTAGCTAAAAACAAAGCCCGCATAGTCGTCATCCGTATCATCGTTGATATAGAAGGTGCCATCGAAATCCACACCACCGAAGGCATCTTTGCCCACCGCCAGACCCGGATCGGAGTTGAGGGTCTGGACAATCTCGGTACCATTGGCATGCACCACCCAGTTGGGATCCGCTTGGGATAGGCCCTTCGGATCCAATGGGATGGTTTGCAGGGTGCGGAAGTCCGTGTGCTGAATCATCGAATTGTTCGGACAATTATCTATGGAATTGGGAACCCCATCCACGTCCTCATCCTCCTCGCAAAAGTCACCCTTGCCGTTGCGATTGAAGTCCTCCTGTTTTGGATTACTGGCCAGTGGACAGTTGTCCTTGTAGTTGGGTATGCCATCGCCATCCATGTCATCGTCGCACTCATCACCGGTACCATCCCCATCGGTGTCCAGCTGATCCGAGTTACTGACCATGGGGCAGTTGTCTAGGGAGTTTGGCACCCCATCGTCATCGCCATCAATGTCCCGGTGGCAAGCATCACCTACAAAATCCATATCTCGATCCTTCTGATCGGGATTAGGAAGATTCGGGCAGTTGTCACACACATTGCCCACACCATCATTGTCCCCATCCGATTGACTGGGATTCGGCTGCAGTGGGCAGTTGTCCAGCTCATTGGGTATGGAATCATTATCGATATCCCCGTCGCACTCATCCCCCAGACCATCCTCATCCGTGTCCAGCTGCCTGGGATTGTACTTCAGTATACAGTTGTCGCACACATCGCCCACCCTGTCGCCATCGGAGTCCACCTGCTCTGTGTTGAAGTTCAGGGGGCAATTATCCTGAGTGTTCTGGACATTGTCGCCATCGGCGTCTTCGTCGCACCCATCGCCATAACCATCCAGATCGACGTCCTCCTGACCCGAATTGGGCAGCCTCGGGCAGTTGTCCCGCTGGCAGTGCAGATCCGGGCATTCGAGCTTCTGGTCCGGCCATCCATCCATATCGGAGTCCCTTCCGCAAAGCAAACCATTGCCTGCCCATCCGACATTACAGTGGCACCTGTGAAGCAAGTTGTCCATCCGCAGGCACACGGCATTGCGGTCACAAACAGTTCCATCTGGACACACGGACACCGAGGATCTGTCCAGGCAGCTGTACGTGCTGTTCGTCACATAGCCTTCGTGGCACTGGCATCTGTAGGAGCCCTGGGGAAAAATACATATATTGAGTCACTCAGAGAAAGTAAAATTTATATTTATTAGAACTAATACTAAAAAGTAAAAAAACAAATCAAAACAAATAATAAGTATGTTATTACTCATGCAAAACTTAATTTGTTAGATTAGTGTTATTTTTTTAAATTATTATTATTATTATTATTATTTAAAAATGGCTTACCCTAAAGCTATCTTACAGAAAAAGAAGGGATCTTGTCTTAGAATTTGTGTATATCTTTGATCAAAATAAGCAGCATATAAGGGACAAATCGAATTGATTACAGGTAATTTTAGGGCATCAATGATGGAAAAATTTCTTGGGGAGAACCCTATACCATAATATTATTTTTTAACAGGCTATGTGCTTTTTTGTACCTTACATATAATTCATATTTATAAACAATTTTTATTTATAAACCAAATTAAATGATTTTCAACATTAGATATAATTAACTCACTATCTCATTTATGCAGGTGGAATGTTCAGGGCATCGGAAGAATCCAGTCCGGCACTCGTCGATGTCTAGGCACGTTTGCTTGCGATAATCCAGGGAGTAGTACTCGGCGTAATAGCCATGGGC